CAAGACCAATGAGCAAAACGCACGATGAAAAGAATTCAAAGAAAAGGGTTCGCAAAACTACATATGAGTAGGAGATTGGAACCAAAAGAAATGAAAAAAACACAGGGAAAGGAGGAGACAGTGAAGTCATAGAAGATCTGACTGTACTTGTAAGAGAGAACGATAGTTATGGACTGGAAGCACGATCTCTTGCGTCCAAGTTGTGAAAAGAGGAAGAAGAGAAGGAAGGAATGGAGAAGTATCAGCATCCACAGAGCTTGGAACCGTTGTCTGGCGGTTGTTCGGTTGGTTTTAGTTCAATTACTACGGGAAGAAAGGAGGACACAGTAAATTAAAAGCACAGCCACCGCCTAGCACCAACAGGAGCTCTGTGCTATAACATCACTCCGATCACCCGCAGTCATGTGGTCCCTAAGTCGAACCTCAATCACTGTACGAATGGTCAAACAGGCACCGCAAATAAGCCGAGACAGGTTGTATTGTCCAAGTGAGGAGTGCGGTTATTTGGTATGCAAATCCACATTAGTTAAACAAAGGGTTTAAAAGGTTATGAGTGAACGAAACACCAAGAAGCAAAGTAGGTGATTGGGAAGAGTAGTGCAATGCACTCAGTTAAGGTAACATAAACTGATTTCTTCTAGCGGCAAACAATGAAAGGGAGGATTTACTGGTAGAGATATCCTACACAAGTCAAATTTAATAAACGACCTAGGGAATTATTCAAGAGGAAAAAATGATGCAAGAAGTAAAGTAAAAATCGAAAAAAGATACAGTCGTCATGACGAGGAGGAGGTGTCTCCTTTTTCAGCAGTTCTGTAGCTATCCGTCGGAAAAGCTAAAACGAAAAAAGATGAATGACAATGGCCTACAAAGTAGACGCAGAAAAGGGAATGAAAGCATGGATAACTAATGGTTGAATAATGGATGCCAATAAGCATTGGAAATTACTTGGAAAAAGGGGCAAAGCAATCCACTCATGCGGAATGAGTAAAGGGCGCAGCATGAATTGGGATCGAAAATAAGGGCTGAATTGAAATCGCATCACAGTAAACACAAGCTTTTAAGTGCCCTGTTCTTATCCTGCAGCCTAATTACTTAAAAATAATCGTATTTTCTGATTTGCCTACTGCCACCTAGCTACGCAGATTGTCCAGGGCAATATTTAATCAAGCAAGCAAAAACAAAGGAGATCAAAAGTAATGGGGACAAAGCCATGATTACAAGTGCTTTAAATTTCGACCGTAACTGAAACATTACAACAGCTTGAAGTTGGGAAAAGTTTGTGTAGCAAAAGATTGCAGATAAAAAACAATTTCAGGTGCTTGCAAAAATAATGACTTCAAAACAGATTGAGCAGTTCAAAAGCAACGCGTCTAATTCGAAGTACAGGATTAGCTGTGCTCTCTCAAAATGCACTAAAGGATTATCAGCAAAAGGTGCAGTCAAAACTAGTACAGACGGAACACATGCTAAAAAATTCAAGGGTTTACATTTTTTACATTGTAACCGGCTTTGGCACTGGTCTCAACAAACATCACATTGAGTTCCTTGGCTAGTCGTTCGCCTTCTTCAGTCGTCACTTTCCTAAAATTAATGATAGGTGCTTTTCATAGGCTCACCTCTTATCCGCCAGATCGGTTTTATTTCCGACTAGCATTATGATAACATCGTTTCCTCGTTCGTTGCGAACGTCATCAATCCATTTGGTAGTCTGTGAAAACGATTCCCTCACTAGTTGAGTGAATAATTTAGCCAAAAAGCAACCCTACTGCAAATATCATACACAACTACAGCAACGGAAGAATCACGAATGTAACTAGGGATGAGACTACGGAATCTTTCCTGACCGGCTGTATCCCACAGTTGCAACCGAATCTACAAAGATTCGAAGTCAGATAAAATATAAATACCGTTCGATCCTCAAGGTACATTGTCTTCGACAGAAAGTCAATTCCTATCGTGGCCTATTATTAAGGTATTAAAAACCAAAGCCCATGTACTTGGTAAACACTATCAAATGTTTCGTACATGAACCGTGTAATGAGCGATGTTTTGCCAACTACGAAAGTTTTGCATAGAACAGAAACATTTAAACCAACCACTTTGCTCGCCGAGAAATACAAGTTTGAACTTCCGCAAAGGATTGTTGAACTCAGTCGAGCCTGCCATTCTACACGTTTGAAGGATTCCACCAGCTCTTGACTGAGCCGCGCACGGTTCTAACCCATTTAAAACTGATAACATTTATGTTCCATTTATGCTCGCTTACATTAATCATTTTAATATTAATAAACTATTTACTTTCCATTTTTTTTAGCATCTGCAAAGGCAGAATTATATGTTTTCTACAAAACAATGAAAAGAAAATTTTGCATATGCAATGGTTTCAACTATAAAATAATTCTGTATAGTGTCGCGGGACTTTCTAGTCGATACAAAAAGTAAGTGCAGCTGGCTACATGTATTCTGAAGATGACAGTGCAAATGGGGCCTGAGCGTGGCCCGAAGGCAAACCCACGTGTACGGGGCCAGACAAATTCTAAAATGACCGCTAAATGTCAGGTAGTCGCATAACCAAGGCATTGCACTGCTTCTCTCTTCTTTTTAGCGACGTCCTTGGCGCTCCCCTTCGGTACACCTCTCGCGCCAGCCATCACAACCCATTCGGCACTATCTGAAAGCACCCACGTGCCAACCGCGCCTGTCGACAGACAACACGAGACTGAGAAACCGTACCTGGTCTCCTCGGCACCTCCAACTGAAACTGGATTTACGTTCGGTCTGACAACCAGATTCGATGCCGCACACACCTGTTGACCATCAAGTGCTTCCAGGAATAGACAGTGTAACTCGAGTCTAGAATTTTATGTTACAGGGAAAACGGGAGGAGTCACTGTCCCGCCTGTAAAGAGAACCGCAGTATTATTTCCAACACATAAACAAAGATTTTGTATGGGAAATTCCGACACGAATCTTTCCCTGATGGTTTAGGGTGGTGTCGCTTCAGATGTTAATAGCATGTCTGTGGAGCACGGGAATAAGTTGAAACTTATGCAGACGTCAGTCTGAGTTCCTTCATTTTAAAGGATTTAGGGATTCTCCATCACCATGGTGAGTGCGCCTCCTTCAATTTTACGTCCCTTTACGCCTGTATCTTCATCTACAGCACTTCGATAGATAAAGTCAGACTTCCTTCTACGCATGTATATCTCATGATTGCCAGTGCACAACGCCAACGTGCGCTTATTAATCTTGGATTTCTCCACCAAGATGTAGAATTTCTTTGCAGTCTTGTCTGCTGGTTGGATTATAACCTTCTTGTCTTGGAATGCGAGGTTTCGAATTTCAGACCAAGGGAATTCGGATTTTGAAGTCAAACAGATTACCAGGCTCATAGATAGTCAAACTCAGAGCATCAGCAACACAAACCCCAGATCCTGTGGGATTTGTAGGTACTGAAGCAGTGCATCATCTGACCGAACCATTGCCCGCCAGTTCGTTCGTACTGTTCTTTTCCGGGAACGCGGGATGCCAGTAAGACAGCCGCAGAGAGAGACCCCACATCGGCTAAAAGTCGTTAAAAAATTGTCGAGTTCACTTTCTTCTGCCATCAGTGCAGCGTCCCGGCACCTCCTAGTCGGTATAAGAAGTCAGTAAGTGCAGCTGGACCCATTCACTCCGAAGACGACAGGGCAAATGCACCTGGGCATGGTCCAAAGGCCAGCCCACGTGTACAAGGTTTAGACAAATACTAAAAGTGATCGCCAAAAGTCATGTGGTCACATAAACAAGGTATTACACTCTGCACCTTTCACTTTTCGTTGGGGGTCAGAATAATTTTTTTGTAAGCAATCAATGTAATAATCTAGATTACCGAAGTTTATTATGACCTTTTATGCATTATGTGTGGACAGTAATTTGCTTACAGGCCGGGTGAATTCTTGCATCCAACAGGAAGGGGAAGACGTCGAACTTTGGGGTGGGCTGATTGCCAAGACACCCGATCGAAGCAAGATGACCGCAAAAAGATTAACACAGCCTCAGTACTCACTCACATATTGGTAACTTGACAAATATTAAATTTAATCAAGTACTTTTATTCATATATCTGATTCTTCTCTTGATTTTGCCATAGTTGAGATTGAAACTTGCAAAATCCTTCCAATGGGTAGAAGAAAGCACCAATTAAAGTTGGATCCGTTTTACCAGAGCCGAGGGGGAGAGGTGAGCTTTGTCTTGACCCAAAGTCCTGGCTACTCAACTTAGTACGGCGCTGCAAACATAACTACCACCTTTCCTATACGTAGCCTATTTTACGTAGCCACCTTTCCTATTTTACAAAGTTGTATGGGTTATTGGGCTTTCAGGTAGTGCTTTAATTAAAACAGTCCGCGATATTGAACAATTGCGGTGCAATTTAGCTTCGCTAGTATTGTCTAGCTGGTTGCTCTAAGCAGTGCAGCAGGCGACATTGAGTCTGCAACGGTCAAGGAGGTTAGAAGTTT